GAGGAAGCGGCAGAGGTTTGAATTTGTTTATGATTTTTAGTTTTTTTTTTATCTTAAAGCTAAGGTACAAATAGGGCCGAATGGACTTGGCATTTCCAAGCAAGGAATTGAATTTGAAAGTTTAATGGGGAAGTTGGTCGTGACGGTGAGGGTTAGATTTTGGGTAAGTGTTCTCGCCTTCTCGTTGATCGTCGACATTGTCGACCTGAACAAAATATATAAAGATAATGTATGTTGCTATTTAAAGGGCAACTCTTGATACCATATGGAAATATCAATTTAGAATATGTATACTCTATATAAATTTATACTAACTGTTGGGAATTCCCGGTCATAGTATGTCTATTTTTACTTTTCTATTTCAAAGAAGACGTTTGACACAACTGTTTATTTCATGACTATATTTCATAAAATACTCTGTTTATTGACGTTTTCTACTAATCGTTATTGCATACATTCACACCTGAATCACACCCTCTAACTATTTCACCCGTCTCAACTTAAGCTTTTCACTTGCCTCATTTAGACGACACCCTAACTAAATGATTCCATTTCTCGTTTAGGTAATTGCTAGCACTCTTAAACGAAAACTTAGTTAACCATCAAATATTACTCTATATAATTATAACATTACAACTATCAATCTATCATCAATGTCATCATTACATTATATACTTATCAAAATTACTTCTCTAAACATATTCGAATAATTTTATTTAATTATTATCTAAATAATTGTGTCAGCCGCTCATGTGTCCGTGTGAGACTGTTGACTGGTACAGCTCATGTGCCCGTGTGAGACTGTTGACTGGTACGGGTGCCCTTTTAGGATTACCCTAACAAATGAGAACTTGATTACTTTACATGCGTTGACTTTTGTCCAAAAATTGTACGGACCAGTAAATGAGTTACACATGAAGGAATTAGTAAATAGGAATCCACAAACACGACCTCTTCAATGTAGAACTGGTTCGTGTTCTTGAATTGGTCAACGCGTTGAATTGAAATTATACTCCTATAATGAAACTTTATTTTAATCATATTCAACGTGTTTCATTTAATTCCAACAACCACACTCTCTCCACCTTCCCCTCTATATATACAAAGCTAATTACATTATATTCTTCATTCAAATACTGATAAATAAATATATTCCACTCTTATATTATATACTCCGTATTTGATTTAAAAGCCGAAATTAATTCCGTCAAGAATTGGGAATGGATTGCCTCAGGAGAATGAGCGGTTTCTCGTTGGTCGTCGTCTTCGTCCTTTTCGTGACGGTTACTAGCCGGATTCATAGCGTGGAGGCTGGAAGAGTGTTGCCGGAAGATTTCGCCGCCGCGAACCACCTGGCGGACCTGCCGACGGCGCTGTCGGCGTCAGTGCTCGACCAGGCCAGGATCAGCTGGTCGGCTTGGCTGGAGATGTTGCCGTCTGGGCCCAGCCCAAGAGGAGGGGGTCATTGATGAGCCAGCCTGGAAATTTCTATATAACCGTAATTCGTTGGTTTGCTAAGCTTAGCTATATATAGACATTATTGAAACATTAATTTTATTCTTTTATTATTTGTTATTATATTGGGTTTATCAACAATGATAGATAATAAATAGCCATACTGATACAAGCATTGCCAAAGTGCATGCGTTTAATTTGGTGTTGCCATAATTTGAGTGAAAATAAAATAAAGATGTTAATGTAAATTCCTTAATTATTATTCTTGTTATGTATTTCTTTTTTGTGATTGTGAGTAAAGTAGCTCATGTACAACTTATGCATAATTGCTATGAAGAGATCGATTTCTATCCAGAGTTTTCAAGATTTTAAATAATATGTGATAAATTGAAATAATAAAGGGAAAGTTCCCGAAATAGGACTAAATCAGTTTAAATCATCGGTTGTGTGTTGTAACCGTAACATTGTTATGCATGATACAAAAATGACATGATTAGCTGGATAGTTGAATATGTTATGCATAGTCATCTAATCAATTCGGAGACCCTGTTTTAAATGACGAATTTAAATCTCGTAGTACTTGTAAAAATAGTAGGGATTGCCTATTTTATAAAAACTTAACCAAATCTCCTAAAAATAGTATTATAGAAGATTAAAAGTTTACAAATATGTTACACATTTCAATGAAATGTATTCCTTGTACTAGCTAGCTGCCTAGGTGTTCTACACAGCTAATGTGAAAAAATTAAATCTTACTAAACTTGGAATGTAACATTGCTAAACTTGAAAAAATAGACCTAAGCTATTACTATTATTGTATGTATATTAAAGTTTTGGTGTGCCAAACACCTATTGACTTATAGTCTCATGTAATATTTTGGTTTATCTAACTTTTTTTAGAGAACCCAATTACTCAACTTACACTAATAAGATCATGGATCAATGAATTGAATGGAGCTGGATGAACTACAAACAAGAAGAAGGAATATGATGCCAAACATAACCACCAGACATAGGCTCCGTTTGGAAACCAGCGAATTGGCTAAAACGCCAATTGTTTTACAAAGAAAATGCTGTGTTTTTTAGCGTTTTCTCTGCCAACCGCCAAAAAACAAACGACCCCATAAACCCAATGACAATACTTCGGACGCTTGCAGTTTGGATTAGTATGCAAATTCTAAATTACGACGTAAGATTAATTTGGGTGTTGAAAAATGAAACTAAAATGTTACTAAAGCAATAAACCAACATATTTGCTCACATGTATCAATATATGTATTATGAGATATATAATTGTACATAATAAACTTTTATAAACGAATATTTTAAGTTTAACTTAATATTGTGTGTACCCACATCTAACATTAGGAGATTGTTGGTCATAATTGACTTCGGATCAACAAGATATTTTGTAGGTCATCTAACATTGATAATATTTGTATTTATCTTGTGTAAATCATAATTCACTTTGGATAGTCTCTAACGATTAGTTTAATTTTAAATTTATGTATGGTGCCATAGTTTTTTTTAGGTAAAAGGGTCAAATAGGCCCTCGAACTAATTTAAAAAGTGCAAATCACCCATATAGGAGGCTCTGTCAAGCCGTCGTCATTTGGGGAGGTTCCCGGTGGAATTTTTTCGATGAAATATTTTGAACATCTTCTTCATTAAGTCTAGTTTACCCATACCAAATTTCAGATATAAAATCAACGAGAAAACTAGACTTAATTTGGTATGAGTAAACTAGACTTAATTTAGGCTCTGACCGACAGTCAAATGATTTTCTGAAATATATTGCGTTGTTTAACTGCGCAGTTATCTTCAAAAATTTATTTGAATGCCTTCCCAATTGAATTTTTAGCTGAAATTTGGTATGAGTAACTAGACTTAATGAAGAAGATGTTAAAAAACTATCAGCAAAAAAATCTATCGGGAACTGCCCAAATGGCGACGGTGGGACAGAGTCTCCTATATAAGAAGTGATTTGCACTTTTTAAGTTAGTTCGGGTGACTATTCGACCCATTTCCTTTTTTTTTACTTCTAATTAGATTCGGATCATGTATTAATTGATTTATACTTCGTAGATTTTAAAATGAATAATGAATTATAAAAATGGCCGTTACAAGTGCAAGGATAAATTAGGAATATGGGAAAACAGTATATTGTGTTTATAAATATGTTTGTGTCCATAAAAATGGCCGTTAAATAATAAATATGTTTAATACTCCGTAATATTTGTGTCCATGACTTTTGTATTTGTAATATAATTGGAATTTTTTCTTATAATACCATTAATTGTAACGGTATTTATAATATAATTTGAAATTTGAATACCATTAATATTTGAATGTAGATGATTCAATGCGTTAAACTCCCGGACGTTGAAAACAATTGCTTTTTATTCAAATCCTTTGTCAACCAGCGTTTGTAGTCCAACGGTTAGGATAATTGCCTTCCAAGCAATAGACCCGGGTTCGACTCCCGGCAAACGCATTTTTTTGCGGTAAACTTCTGTTTTGTGATTTTAATTATAAAATTTATACGGTTCCTTTCTTCTCCAACAAGCGTCTGTAGTCCAACGGTTAGGATAATTGCCTTCCAAGCAATAGACCCGGGTTCGACTCCCGGCAGACGCAATTTTTTTTATAATTTTGTTGTGTATTCCTTCATTTCCCTAGCTTTTAAATGTACTACGTAGTTTTTTTTGGCTTCTTCTGTTGGCCATATTTTTCACAGAAAATCAGTAAGAATATGTCTATAGCTTTTCTATGTAGTTATTTTGGCTTCTACTATTGGGCGTATTTTTTTAGAGAAAAATAATAACAATATTACTATAGCTCGTTTAAGTAGTTGTTTTGGCTTCTCCTATTGGCCATATAAATTAATAAGAATATGACTTGGTACAGTTTTTCATTCTACTTTTTCTCCCTTCAATTTAGTCATTACTCATATAAAGGCATGTTTAAATTTATGTCACACTATTAAAATCCATAAATATTTTAGTCACATATAAATTTCACTTTTTTATTTAAGTAATGCATGTTCAGTCCAATGAGGCTTCACCTGTTTCGGTCAAATGAGAAATAAGATCACAAACATTCATAGATAAATGGATTAATGTGATTTAAATACTCTATCAAATGTTTGTTATCATGAGCACAAACATAGAGAAACCCCTCACGAATTGAAGAATGTGTATGCTTTAGCACACATATTTCATTATATTTTCATGTTATTTTGATAAAAATCATATAACAGTAAAACCACATTTGACTTCATTTTTTCCATATTTGTAATATCTGCATCTTGATCCTATATCAATATTACAGCTATTGTTGAAACTTGGACCCTCTTAACAAGAAATGGACCAGGGTCATCTGATATTTCCCACAAGCAAATTGATGAGCTATTCTAAATCTGAATCCGGGATCAATTAGCACGCATTATGCCTGTTCAGGTCCGATTTCTTTAAAATAGAACTTATTCGACAAGTTCCAATCCGATCACCGATATTTTACTTCAAAAACTGACCAAAATCCTAAAAGAACCTGAAACCCATACTTTATTTCATATTGCGCCCTTCCCATTTGTAGACTTCAGGACACAGGACTGGTACCGGACAAATGGGACAATGTGTTACCCTACTTCTAACTTTTGAGTGCATTTTCACAGGGTGGTCTTTTAGATCACAAGTATTGCACAGTCTTGAAATTTTGTCTGTGTAACTAATTCACTACTCAGAAAATAGATAAGTATGTGAATTATACAACAATTTTGAAGTCTAGAACTTTTATCTTCAATTGATAGTGGGGCCAAGCCTATTACATTTATTGCCTATCCAGCTTTTTCCATAGATAATTTGTTCTTCGGATGATGGAATCTGCTGAAAATCCTTCAGCATAAGCGCTTATAGCTGTTAATAGGCTTGTAAATTTTTCCCCATTGTCCTGCATAGTGCGTAATTTGATCATGTTAGGTTGTGCACTGTCAGATATATCCAGACAAATCAGGAAATGTATATTTACAAACATGCAACTTTTACTAATGAAATTAATATCATCATCATCATCATCATTTTCATTTACTAATGAAATTAATATGATTCCGAAAAATTATTTAAAAAAAATCATCTTTAATTACTAGAATTTGTACTTTGAAATGTTAATAGTTACACTCCCTCGGTCCCTCAGTCCCAAATTGTAAGATACATTTACTATTCACTTGGTCAACATAAATCACTCTTAATCTTTTTCTTTATATATCAAAAGTTTATGAAATTTGAATTATTTTTTTCAGGTTTTGTAGCGGTTTTAATGTAGTTTCTGAATATGTAAATTTTATTTTCTAAAACTAATTTGAGTGTTCACAGAGAGTACTAATTTTTCAGTTAAGAGAACGTATGTTGTTACGAAGAGGAACACACTTACATTTGGTTTCCTAAATAGCAGATCATTTGGAGCAAAAGGAACCATATAATATGGAAGGTCACAGCGTAACATTGCCTGCAAGGACACCCGAGGTTCTGGGCATTGGATTCATTTTTATTTTCTAAATAATTTAAAGGAAAAATAAAACGCATTTTTGCTTAGTCTAATATATACCAGATTCTTGCTTAGTCTAGCCTGATCAGCATCTGATATCAATGCCTGAAATGATCAAATAAGGTCGGCGTTTTAGCAAAATTATAATGGGAGGTCAAGGACCTGAGAGTGATTACAAATACAAATGCATGAGCAGATAAATATAACGAAAATTGTGAAGGAATTGCGTACCACTCCTTCCCCAAATAAACCTTTCACTTTCCTTTTTGGTGTATCCCAAAATGAACTTCCCAATTTTAAACAATTGGGTAGTTGATATTTTTTTTATTTCTAAATTATTAAGTCGCGTGCCAACAGCAAATGAGAATTTTATTTTAGGGCACAAGGATTACATACTAGGAAATAGCAATTTAGAAACCACGTAATTGATCAGTCAAATCAAAGAGTAATGGTGTTTTTGTTTGGGGGGGGTATTCCTCTCTCCCCTTGTTTGCTTAAAAAATTAGCAGGAGGAGCAAAATCTTCTTCTTTCCCGTCGCTTACCCCATATTTCCTGCCTCAGAAAACGGAGGGAGCCCTCTATCCCCTCAAACCAAACACGCCTTAAGAGAATGTATATAACATGGGGAAACAGAAAACAATGGAGAAACCTATGAAACATTAACAAGCCAATTGACTACCTCCCTGATTTTGTCCTCCTCAACTTGTTCAACACAATCCAGCAAGTTTTCAAGTGTACCTATCCCGACAGAGTAGAGTAAGAAGCTAAAAGATAGCTAACGTTTTAGTGTGAAAATTAAAACAAAAGGGGTTCATGGCGGTCAGTGAAAGCCAAGTTTAAAAAAAGGGCAGCCCAATGCACATTGGCATCCTTGCAAAGTGAGGGTCCAGGGAAGGGTCCCACCACAAGGGTGTATAGGGGGTAAGTCTTCCCGAGGAAGGCTGTCGTCAGTCACATAGCAACACTACAACAGGTGAACCAAGGCTCCCCTTCAATGAAAGTCAAGTTTAAACATAAATAATTCTTTAAACACAAAGTTATCCATGTTTAATTTGAAAAAAATAAATCGAAGGAAACTGAATGCTCATGGGATATGTGATTTTGCTTGAAGGTTTTTCCTTCCATAAGTTAAATGAAAAACAGCAAAGAGGTGGTGGTGAAGGAATGTGGCATATACCAAATTTCATGATAAGCTGTGTACCATGAACGTCTCCAATCCCATGGACTCCTGAAGGTAAAAACTTTAGATTCATGCACCATATGCCGTACAATCATATATATTGTAATTTTTTTTTGCGATAAAGCTTTAAAGATTAAGAAGCAGATACCAACCTGGTATATTATCTGATTTATCACCTACAAGTGAGATAACATCAACAAATTGTGAAGGCTGCAAACCTCCGTATTTCTTACCAAAATCCTCAATCCCAAATGAGACCATCCTGAAAAAATCCCAACAATGCGGTGAAAGGATAACTTAGTATGCACGCACAATAGTGAATATCAGTCCAATGATGAGATCTTTAAACAAATTTTAATTATAAAACTCTGTTGTCCCCTTTATATTGAACTTTTGATATGTACACAATAGTAGATTTTGTGGTCATGTTCCACAATACGCCTGTGGGTTTTACAATATCATATTATCATTCATGTAGTAAATACAAAATATCACCTATCTCATCTCATTGCAGCCTCATGACATTTTACATGCATGTGGAATTAACATGGTGATGATGAGGGTTTTAGAACGTCCATCTCAGTATTCCTACATAAGAAGATCGTGACTTGGGACAGGAAGGGCACCCAGCGCAGAACATAAACATGTGTTCTCCTTGTGAATTCATTGTATTAACTGAGTTAGTCAGTTCAGAAAAGATGGTCAATTTATAAATAAAAACTAGTTTCAGTCAATTAATTGACACTAAATTTCATGCCACCGACCCAACTAGTTGAAATTAAGGTGTTGATAAAGAGGAGGATACTATAAATTTAGTAACTCGTAATAATATAATATCATAATTCATATATGTGATTATGTGGTCCTAGATATCAGATGTGCAAGAATAGAAATGTAGTGTAACTGATATTGAGGCCCAAAGTGTGAAGTGTGTGCACTTTGTGAAATGAATGACTAGCCTAAGAATTAACTTGGCAGTAAAAATTGTTCAACCATCTCTTCAACTGTTTAATATGATTGTCGATTAAATTATAAACTTCATTTAAATTGTATCAGCCTCAAGAGTTGAAGTCTCAAGAGTGTTATGTTAAGAAAGTAATTTGCACTCAACTACGGCATTTATAGAGACTGCTCAAATGTTGACAATTGAAGTGATACTAACTCAAACCCACGAGGAGCAATGCGCAAAAGACGTAATGAAGGGCTTAAAATCTGGAAAAAATCTTTGTCTGGAGAGACAACTCGAACCTGTAACAGTTCCATACCAAGAAAAAGTAGCAAATCTGTGAGACATCCAGAATTCCAGATAGAGAAACTGAGTCAAATTTGTCAAAGCCAATTTAGTTATTATAGTATTGAAAAAGCAAAAAAACTAAATTATAAGATCAATATCTTCTTCAAAGCACCTTAAACAACTTTAAAGGTACACAAGCAACAGATAAATACATCATTGCTTTAATATATGAAACATATAAAACTCCTATGGGTCAGAAGGATCATCATCATTACCCCGGTGCTGCAAAGGCTCCCACACCTTCGGTGGGGTAGGGGGGGTCGGATGTGCGTAGTCTTACCCTTGTACTAAAGTACAGAGAGAGTGTTTCCTGATGACCCATAGTGAAAATCGTGTCAAAAATTGCATGGATTGACGGTTGATTCATAACAAAGAAGCGCAAACAGTTTAGTAAGCCATTTTGCTTTATTCTATCATATTCCCAAGCCAAAAAACAGTGAGTCTTTGGCTCCATTGCAAATGATGGAAAAATGGGTCAGAAGGATGTTTAAAAAAAAGATGAGTACACGAACAAGACAACCCACTCCAATAAGCACGAAATAATGATGATTTACAATATGATTTATGTTACCTTGTAACCAGCATCCACGCTCCTAACAGCCAATGTCCCAATTACATCATCAGCTTCCACCCCAGGGACCTGCTGGGATACAGACGAGTCATGGACGAAATCTGGGCCATGGAAAAAGATTTACAAAATGCACCCTGTGTACCTCAATGACTTTGATGGACATTGCTTTTATGGATGCTTTCAGAAACTGAAGTCCTTGAACAATGGTATCAGGTGTAGGAGGGCGATTGCTTTTGTATGCAGGGTAAATGTTGTGACGAAAATTGAGGCCTATTAACAAAATTCCACAATGACTTGTTTCAATTAGACCAACTGAGCCTTAAAACTTCAGTCAGTAACAGGAATGCCATGCAGCTGCAATCAGACAGACCAAATTGTTCACACAATAATTGACACATGTAGGGGAGAAATGTGAAACCTCCTCGCTCAGAGGAATTACATATGGGGTGTGATGAATATATTTACATTATGATCAGAGTAGTCGATAGCACAAATGGCGGTCGCCATTTGTCGCCATTGGCGTTTTATGAGGTCTTTGCCACATTCCCAGGCCCTGGCGAAGAGAATACCTGTGGTGGTGCCATTGCTATCGCCTGCACCATTTGTGCCACAGTTTGGTCTTATTTTAGACAATTTTTAAAATAGGCCCATATATATCCTTCTTTCTACCTTGCTGTCACGAATAATATCATTATATTATAATATGTAGTATATTTTAATAGTAATATCAGAAATTGTATTATTGAAGGGGAGCCTTGGCGCACCGGTTAAGGTGTTGTTAAGTGACCAAGAGGTCAAGGGCTCAAGTCTTGGGAGCAGCCTCTTGTCAACATTTGACAGGGGAAGGTTTGCCCCTTCATACACCCTTGTGGTCAGACCCTTCCCCAGACACTCTCCTTCCGGCGAGGATGCCTTCATGCATCGGACAGCCCTTTTCATTGAAATTTGTATTATTAAATATTAGAAGTTAGGCTTATGAAAGTATGTGTATTGTCATATTATGTTTACTGTTAAACGTATTAAGATATTAGTTTTATGATAATAGTTTATGCTATACAGTATGGTTTATGTTATATGTTTGTTTTATCACTTAATGTTTCATGCTTACTTTGATAGTATATTTAGTTCAAGTTATACAATGTGTTTAGGTACCGATATACTCCCTCAGTCCCAAATTGTAAGATACATTTCCTATTCACTTGATCAACATAAATCACTTTTAATCTTTTACTTTATATATCAAAATTTTATGGAATTTGAATTATTTTTTGAAGGCTTTGTAGCGTTTTTAATGTAGTTTTTGAATATGTAAATTTTATTTTTTAAAACTAATTTGAGTATTGACAGGGAATAATTTGCTTTATCGTCGGTCAAACATCGTAAACCGTAAAGTATCTTACAAATTGGGACGGAGGGAGTATTAGGTACTACCTCCGTCCCGTATTGGTTGTCCTCTTTCAATTTGGCATGATTTTTAATAAAGTGGTTGAAAAGTAAAAGTTGTGGTTGACATTTGAGTAAAATAAAGTGAAATGATAAGGATCACATATTTATTGCCAAAAAGGAAACATGACATTCATTTTGGGACAACCCAAAAAGGAAAGTAGGACAACCAAAATGGGACGGAGGGAGTAGTTAAAAACGTGAATGATCCAGTATTAGGCAGAGAACTATTTGACTATTTCATAATGGTTTTGTATATGACTTTTACTAGTTTATATTTCAATATGATATACCAGTTGCAAGACAGGATCTTGTTGTGGTTATTATGTTGGTTAAGTCTGTTAGATTAGGATTGTTTTTGGTACTATTATGACTTGATTGAGTGTTTGATATGGATTTGGTTATTTGACTTTTTTATTGAGAGGGGTACTTTACTGCATCACCTGTATTACATGTTTACAATTAAGCAATCCCTGCTACTTTTATGACCAGTAAATTATTCTTCAAGAAAGGTGTGTGTGGTCCAGTGGGGTGTGCTATACCTTTCGCAATAAGATTTTGGTTCGGTGTAGGAGATGTATGACCAAATGGAAGTCCTGAAAGTGATCATCTTCATTTTAGCAAATGTTGTTCAAACGCAGGTATATAAAATGAGACCAAAATAGAACAGCTTAGACATCTGTTATGAAATAAACTATGTTAAAAGAGACATGCATCTTAAAATCTCTTAAAAATGTACAATCAAATCCTGCAAAATTTTACGGGATTATATTATACTCTATAGTATAACAAAATTAGACCCAGGCAAGAGTTTGCCGGCTTAGATAGTGAGCATCCAGTCATCAGTTGGAACTTGGAAAAGGTTTAACCTTTTCATCTAGTCTGACTTAGAAAATTGAGAATAAAGTCAATAAACTAGAGAAAAGTGCCACTATAATTACACTAAAAATAGCACAATCGCCTATTTCTCTGAAAAATACTTTTGGTAGATTGCTCATCATAACTAAATCAAAATCAAGAGAAGTTTGTATACTGCAGATTAGTTGAGAGAGTTTGAGGCTAATTATGATTGAATAAGTAGAAGGAAATAAAATAGTCTGGAATTACTTAAATTAGTAGACTGTTATACATCAGAAGCAACTACCACTTGTAAGACTTGGAATGTTACGACTCTTAAGTATGGAAAGCAAAAGTCATTGTGCGAATTAAGGAGCACGTTCAATGTATCAATAGGGGGGTATAACACTTTAAGGATGAAAAAAAGCTGAAATGTAATAAATCAAAATATATATCTCATTGCTTACCATAATGGTCAAAAACGACCTGCAAGAGATGAAATAAAAATTATGTTATAGGGCATACAATAATAATCATTTAAAGGGCACAGAAAAGTGAAAGCTGAGCAGACCATCATGTGAGAAGATACTGAAGAGAAGTTTTATGCAAAAGAATTTTCTAGTTATACTTCCTAGTCAAGTATCATAACTTAAATCTTACTACAAGTGGATTGAAATTTTTTAAAATCAATGTTACCAAGAAAACAATCAGCATTTGTTAACAAATTATGAGTCTAATTTTATGAGTCTATATTGGACGGTAACTCCAAGATAGGAATTAATAGTCAAAACAAAAGGATAACCTTCACTTATGGCATATACTATAAATAGAGCCAACTGCCTACCTCCCCCGCTTAGTTGATTACATGATATACTTGCAAAGTTGTTTCTAGCAATAGGTGCAGACGTAGGTCTACGGGGTTTAGCATGTGTATCCCTTATTGTGTACATGCATGCATTGTAATACAAATTTACAATCAATATATTGTTCTCTTCTGGTGAACTGTGAACAACAAAAATACTTCACGTCTTCACCTATAGCTACATCAGACGCTTCAAGCCTTCATGGCTTTTATCAGTCACCATTAATAACAACTGATTTAGATCTTCCCATTTATCTCTGAAAAGTTAGATGTGATTGCATTTATCGGTCACTACTTTTGTCTCTTGTAATCATTTATTTATTTTACCGCGTGTTTTTTATATCTTAATTGGGCTCTATCAAATATGCAGAACCTTAGAGCCTTCATCATCATGCCTTGTCTTATTCTCTCATGCTTTTTATGGTCTTATCTCATTTTCTCATTATGATAGATAGAGGTGTGGTTTGGAAGAATAACCAATGGCCCTGGAGGACAATGGGAGCTAGAATTTGGTTGATCTTCTAACTAGTAATATAGCTATTGAAGTGTAGATGGGTCTATGTGTGGTTAAGACTAATGCATATGGTTTATGACAGGACTAAGGGCGCTTTGATTGGTAGTGAAAGAGTTATGCCCAAAACCATGGTTGGACTGTGGAACTGTGGATTGAAATGAAACATTAAAACACTTTCCTCTTTTGGATAAGCTTACATATAATTGTATTATTCTATCTCTATTTGCTACTTGTCATTATCCTAGTTATCAATTAGATGTGAAAAATGCTTTTCTATGTTCACCATAGTGATTTGGCAAAAGAAGCTTATATTAGCAACCACCTAAGATTGTTGCTCATGAAGGATATGGGAAGGTATGCAGGCTACAGAAATCTTTACGGCTTAGAATAACTGCCACAAGCATGATTTAGAGTTTAGACGATTAAATAGAGTTTGAGTTGCAAAGGAGTATGTTGTTCTATTTAACTTTACAGACATAATAATCATGGTTGTATTCTTTTAAAAGTGATGCAGGTGATATTGTGATCTCGGATGATAATCCACGCCGATGGAAGAGCTCAAGACATTCATCTGAAGAAAATGTTAATTTTTACACATACGATTGTGGTTCATTGAAGTACTCCTTTTGAACTAAGGTTGTTACTTACAAGAGAGAGATATTTCTCTCACGAAAGAAATGTTTATTGGATTTACTTGAGGATACTAGGTTACTTGATGCAACCCCTTTGGAGCTGCTATGGTTCAAAATTTGGGACTTAGACTCGGTACGAGAGGGTTAATTTGAGGATCCAAAATGGCATAAAGGCTAGTTGAAAAGCTCATTTACCTCACATTACCAGATAGATTTTGTTACTTTTTTTGTTAACGTAGCAAGTGAGTCAACGGAGACCACTATAGTAGCTATGTAGGAAGCAGCCATTCAATTTCCAATCAAATGTGTGAAGAATGCACCAAGAAATGGAATCTTGTGAAATAACCGGGACATAAAAGTATGGAGGCATTGTCAGGTTATGAAATGGGTTGAAGTTTTAAAAGGTCTACTACATAGAGTCATTGACATGAATAGCTGAGGTATTTTTGTATTGTCCACCATAAAAGTCAAAGAATAGCATGGGATCATGTATACTGAATACTTGCCCGGTTAGTCCAGATATATAATAATTGTGGAAATCTGGAAATGATATAGGTTGAAGCTTCTAAAATGTATATTGAATGTATATAGACACTAAAATGTTTAACATAATTAATAGTGAGGATAGGATCTGTACCACTACATGTGATGGAACAAACTCCAATACGTCAATGATCTGCAGTATTGAAATGTAGACATTTTAATCCTCTATCAAAAGAATGAAAGGTTAAAAGAAATGCATCTACTCCATATCCACTACATTAGCCTGCTGATTGAAGTACCTAAACTCAAAACATAGAAAATATTCTTCTCTATAGACTATAATGATGCATTGATGGGACCCCATAAAATCTTTTTGAACATTCTCGAGAGCTGCACAAATACTTCTTTAAGTCAAAAGGCACCAATACATAGTATTTGCTCACACATTGACTTAGCAAGGATTGAAAAGTAGACTTTTAAAAAACTGTGCAATGGTATATCAATATTGATGTCCACTTTGCTATATACACGGGCTCAATTGTGTTGAACAAAAAAGAGAAGCAATCACACAAATCCAAGTAACATGAACTTACAAGTGACAATGCTGTAAATATAGTTAGGACCCAATCCCCATTGCCATCAGCATTGGGAAGGTGACCATGGTGCAGTTTAGCTGTTCCAATTAAACAAAATAAAATCAGCATTTCAGCACTAGAGTTGAAGATTAGACGATTAGTTGGGTCCAAATCAGTGGAGAAGCAGAGAAAACATAACAGATGAGATACAAATGCTGTGACAGCAGTTTCAATCAAACTTTAAGATTCTCATTCAAAATTTTGTTTATAATACAATTATGAAACTACTAATAGATATATATGATGCTTGCTGGGAGTTCAATACATATAGGGCATATGTTGCCATTTATACCGTTAGTAGAAAGTCACACCACATGCATAGATATTAACCACAGCTCATAGCTGGTACAAAATGAGAAGCTGATAATGATTCCTAAGTCAGACACGTTATTCATCGCTAACGAGATGATATAGCAAATAATTCAAAACTTAATAATAGTATCCGTCTACTGGACAATATATTGTGGTACTTCAATGTGTGTAAGATCATTATTCAACATCAACTGGGGAAAAATTTTGCTAAAGTGGCAATGAAGGGAAAGTAGTTTCTAATATATATGGCATCTCATGATAATAGCTACCTCTAATTATATAAAGGTCTGTCCTAAGGCCCTGTAAAAGAACCGTGTATAAAAAAATCAAGAAGATGACTACATAACAGTGTGTCCGAATTATCCATGAAATCCAGAATATACACATAAGGAACTCAAAGACAGCTGCTTATAGGTAAAATGCCGTAATTTCCACCAAACAGACCATGGATTAGTGACAATTTCCCAACATAAATAGTTTAAACATACCAAGAAGCCTGTAGTAAGCTCGGTATATAACAGATGTTCCATCAATTAGCATTACCCTGCCTTTGCCAGAGTCAGGTTGAACTATCCCGCCTTTGTTATGAGCTTTGGAATCCAATAGAGGGGCATTGTTTTGAAGTACTCTTTCACTTTCAGTAGTAACACCAACTTTAGTACTGTTGGATGATGATAAAGCAAAACAACCCTGATGATAACAGAGGTGTTAAAGAAACTTTGTAAAGGAGAAACACAAAAGTGACATAAATCAATGAGGATAATCAAACGCTTGTCTGTTTTACCCTTTTGAAACTAGCGGATTGGGAGCAGCAATAGATGAACCCAGAAGAGGTATATCGGTTATTATAAGCCGCCCTTGGGTTGATTTGTGTGAAGTTCCTTCCGACTGAATTCAGAGTTCTGCAGAAGAAAGTCTGCATTTGAGAGCAAGCAGGCAGGAAGTCCGCGACTTCATTCACTCCTAAAGACGCTTTGGGCATAGGACAAGTGACAAATGGGCGGGCAAGTGCAGCATTGTCCGAGGCTGGGCTTTGTGCCTCCTTGTCCTTCTCTCACCAGCATAAAATGGTAAAATAGTTTGTTCCTTCTTGAGTTCTTGTTATTCTCGTGCACCACTGGTTGCTTGCAATTGTTTTTTGTTCGGCTCACAAATTCATTATTGTTGAAATATACCCTCTAATTGAATTAGTATCTTCCAACTATTTATGATTGAGAATTATTATCACCGTTATAAATAATTATCACCGTATAAATAATTATCACCATTGCAATTATTATCACTGTTGTATAAATAATTAGGAAATGATAATTATGATTCTAGATGATAATTATGTGATTCACAATTATCCTCTAATCCTAAGAAGCTTAATTTTTCTTCTATAAATAGTAGTCTTCTCCATCGTAATTGACACACCATTAGAACATTTCTAATACACCTCTATCACTAAGAGCCCGTTTGGTAGCACGAAAATCGGTTGTTTTGGCTGATTCTTCTGAAATTTATGAAGTTCTGGCTGAAGTGGCTACATTGGCTTATTCTGCTGATTTAAGAAAAAAATCTTTTTAAAATTTATTTTATTAACAAAATAAAGAAAAAATTATATGTAAAAATAGTTAAAATTATCATCTACAGTAACATCAACCAATACAGCCAGAAAAGTAACTTCAACCTTACTTTTTCTGCTTATTACACAAGTCAGCGCGCGAAAGCAAAACTTACGTGTTTGGTGAAAAAGTTGGCAAACGGCCTCTAAGTCTTCATACTATATTTTCTCTCATCGTATGCTTATTTCCTTCCATTTTATAACAATTATAGTATTCCTTCTTTTCGTAGATGTGAATGTTATACTCTATGACCTCATTTTGATACTCTTATATTGATGCATCCAATCACACGATCTCCTCATTTTGTTCTCTTCGATTGATGCCTTTATTAAGAAAAAATAGAGTTTTTCAAATAAGTGTAAGCAAATATCAAAATGTTGGGATTTATATTGAGTTTTTTCTCGAAATAATGTGAATTAAAAAAGTATTTACCAAAATGATGTTGGATTGAAAGTATGTACGGATTTATTGTTGGGCTTAAACCGGTGATGGTACCATGGGATTCAACCATGGCCCAACTGCAGAAATACAACTCAAAAGTTCACAACAAGATCAAGCCCTTAACGAGATTAGCCCTTGAACGGGATTAATGTTAGAAAACCACTGAGCCTAACTAAGAATCAAGCCCATGAGAGGAACCCACAACCAGGCCAGGCTGGGAAGCAGGCCTTGAGCTTGTGCGGAGTTCTTGTGAGGCTGGAATATTCCTAGGGCTGACGTGGCACGTTATCATTAGATCGGCAACTGGCAGGAGTTAACGACAGGAACGTGGGAATAAAGGAACAATCATTGCATAAACGGTCAAGACATTACAGGAGTCCCATTCGAACTAATGTGTAATTAATAGCATTTTTATATCAGTTTCCTTTTGAAACACTAGTTCCTTAGCCTATAAAGATCACTTGTAAACCTCCTGAAGGAGGATCGAAAGTCCAATCAATAAAATACTGCCTTACGCTGCCATATTTTCATCTGCTTTCGTAGAATATAACTCTCGTAGTTGGATTAAAATCCATCACCCGGTTTGATCAAAGTCGCTAAATGGTTTGGCGACTTTGCATTTAGAACGAACGGGTCGCCAACCAGTCTGAGACAGAACGCGTTTCTTCCCCAAAAATCCCATCCGGTGAGGTCCTGCTCCATCTCCGGCGACTGCAGCGACGGCCAGGACCCTCCATCTACCAAGGATACCCCATAATCATCTTCTTCAACACTCTTTCATCTAGGTAAATTGTGACACCGCACCCGAACGTCCTAGAAATTTCAATTTAAATATTAAAGTTTATGTATTGAATTTCTCTGTTATTGAACAATTGTAAAACGATTAATGTTTTGCGTAATGCGTGATTAATCATATTACTGTTTTGGCTCATATATTAGTAATGGGCTTTCAAATACTTAATCAGGCCTTCTGGGGACGTTCGTCCCCATGAGCTCGTCTTCTGTTTCCTGTGTGCCCAAAGTCCTTCGAGACGTGCGTCTCGTGTTGTTTCGTGTTGGGCCCAAAGTCCTTCGAGACGTGTGTCTCATGTTGTTTCCTGATGAGCCAAGATACTTGCCTATGCAAGGATACGTACGTCCTCTGGATGATCGGAAGGATATCCCGTTGTCTTGGGCCTTCTGGGGACGTTCGTCCCCATTAGCTTATCTATGCAAGGATACCTACGTCCTCTGGATGATCAGAAGGATACATGTTGCCTTGGGCCTTCTGGGGACGTTCGTCCCCATTAGCTTGCCTTTCCTGCTAGGCCAAGTCCTGCGAGACGAGCGTTAGCCGCTGCCCCTAAGTCAAGGCACCCGCCTATGCTACGGTACGGACGTCTCCTGGGCCTGTTGGGGACGGACCTCTCCAGGAAGAGTAGAAATATAGCTCGTTGTCCGGTGCCTTGTGCAAACTTTCATAGGGAGGCCTTTAACCCAACAAATATGATGTAGATAGTTGACTTGTTCTAAATACATTAGAATGAGTACAAAAAGACATCTTGTGACAAAAGATAAAATAATAGGATCCATCTTTCCATCTTTGAAAGTGATGGTAGATATTTTGGACCCCAAATTAATTAGGGTCACTTGGAGGACATCCCACACCTTCATATCACCTTCAAAACAAGGAGAATAAGTTAGAACCTATAAATGGGGCGGACCTATTGAGTTGAGAGCTCAAACAATACAAAAAGAAATAAAAGAGGGGAACCACCCATGTTTGATTGCAATCAAACATCTTACCCTCTTCTTTTGTGAACCACATGCCTAGATAACATTATTGAGAGATCCTAGAGCCTTATCGCAACCCCCATTCGAACTCTTATCATTTGAGGAGAGGATAGGAGCTCACAACACAAAAGAGAGGTAGAGAGAATTTCTGGCCGCACAGTTGAAGTCCTTGGTAGTGTTTGCTTCATATCTCGAGCTTCACTCGTCCAAATAAGGCGTGTGAGGTGTCTAAAGAAAGTTCTCAAGATAAGGAATCTGTGGAGGTGCGATATGCAGCGAATGGAGCAGTTTAAGGTCTCCAAAGAATCGAAAGAAAACGATACCTCGCAGAATACATTTTTGTATTCAAAGAAACGAATTTGCCGGAAGACATCCTTTCTAGGGATTGTTTTCACATCTTTGACTAGAGGTTGAGCAGGCACCTTGAAGAGGCTTCCTAGCACTCATTTACAAGCAGGGAGTCAGTTCTCAACTTGCCTTGGCCGAAGCTTTGACCATTGGATTGAGAAGGAAAAGTTTAAAACTCATTTTGAGGTGAGGATCGACATCTAGTTGCTTACAACTTGTAGGTTAAGCATGAGATTACCTAAATGTCTAAATCATGTTTTTCATGGATTATGATGCTAAATCATTGAAGAAATATTGATATGTTTGATAAGAAATGAAATTGGAAATGATTTGAAGTCATATTGATAAAATGGAATTAAATGGGCTATTAATGAACTATTATGTAAAATAGGCATTTTTGCTCATGTATGAAATGTGTAGATACATAAATGAATATTTATGTATTAAATTGAATGCTTATGTTTCTGCTACATATCTCCAAATACGTAGGGATTTACAAATGGAATATTTGATTTGATAGGAATAATCATAATAGTATTGAAATACTAGTTAATGATTATTTGTAATTGTTAAAGAATTGATTCTAAGGGATTGATTGTAAATGATGCACTTGAATGTGATTCAAGTGACTAAATTCATTTAGTATGAAGCTAAGATCATGTTATGGGTAGTCCTTAAGGATGTCTCGGAGTAGATTATTCATATCTCAATTCTAGGCATATATTTGCTTAGGAATTGGGTCTATGACATGCCACGGTGATGTACTTTAGTAGAACTCTAAAAGTGCATGGGTAGACAAGGGGTTGTGAATGATGACATGCATGGTGATGTACTTGAGTTGAACTCTAGAAATGCATGGTGAGATTGAAGGTTGTAACCTATGATGTGCATGGTGATGTACTTGAGTAGAACTCTAGAAATGCACGGTGAAGTAATTGAATTGTGTCATATGATTTGCATGGTGATGTACTTGAGTCGGACTCTAGAAATGCAAACATATGCGTTAGGGTTGGACCCTATGAATTATCGTGACTAGTAGTCACGGGGTATTGGGTTGATGTTTTGTAAACAAACTTAGTCCTACGGGTCGACTACTTGACTTTATATAAAGTAAGTATATTTTGAAAAAAGGGTAACTTGGGGTTACGACCTAGATTATATCACCACACTATTTGAGAGTCTTGTGTTTGAAACACTTGTTGTATATCTATTAGATGCCATCAACACCAGTACTTTATAGCCCTATAGAGTACTGACCCCTTCGGGGGCATCCCACCACAATTTCAGGTTGAGGCTAGAGCTTGCTTCCTGTGCTCGTTGCTCGAGTGATCATCTGGGAGAGAAGACTTGGTTCGTTCTTCCTCTATTATGTTTTTGAACATTAATAAACATGCTCATGGATATTTTACTATAGAGCTTGCGTGCTCATGTTTGCCCCGTGTGGCATTTGTTTTCAAACTATGTTTTCCATTGCGTATTGAATTGGTTATTATGTATGTTTATGGACGACTTATGTGTGAATGAAATTCTAGACGCCTTGTATAACATGGATGTGTCTAACTGTGGTTGACTATTCGTATTATACGGCGGGTTGTTGACGTGTCCTGGTATGTCCGGGGCGTGACATAAATCAAATCTTCATTTCATCTCATATTTCAACGTAGGA